TTAAGTGATGTAAAGTGAACCACTTCGATACTTATCGGTCAGACATGTATGACGACGAAGCTTGGCGTAATTAACCATCTACAGGCTTGGATTCGGATCAGATTAATTCATTAATATGTGGAAGGGGCGGTAAGCTTATCATTTTTGCTTACTATAAATTAACGGATTCTGTCAAACAATGATAATTTCTTGAAATGCTTTAAATGTTAACTCTCGATGAAATGCATTCACCTTTACTTGAGTAGATCTCCGTCGACAGGGTTTTGCCATGTTTCAAACTTGGCCTCTTTCCACTCCCATTGCAGTAATTTTTTGTCGCATCTTTTGCACTTCATTTTCTGCGACCAGGATTGCTTAGGCGATCGAGCGTTGAACTAAGCCCTGCGATGTCGCGGGATCGATCGTAGGTCGGGTCGGTCGCTTTTCTTTTTTCCGATGATGATAAATGAGTTGCACTTTGTGGGAATGCAATTATGGACTTTCCGCCACATTTGCCACATACCGGTTGTCGACTCGATCTTTAAAGAGACCGGTTTTTGTTGTTCGCATGGAAATAAAGTTTTGTGCCCCACCGCCATTGACTTTTTGCAAAGAAGAGTAACATTACAATGTTTGGAAATTTTCGTTTTTCTTTCTTTTCCATCTCTCTTCTATGCTATGTAATCTAACCACGCATTTTTTCTCAAAGGCTCCGGTGATTTTGAGTATGTGATAGTTCAACGTGTAACAGTGCCATCTGATTTTAAAGATGTAACGCATGCAGCATTGATGGAAACTCGATTCATTTCATTTTATGAGCATGAGGACTGCAATTGTTTTAAGGACGTATAAAAGAACGGACGTATCCGTTGCTTTCTGCCTTCTACCAAAATACAGATGGCAGTTATTCACAAGTGATTGTTTGAAAGTTGTTATACTCGCTGAATGACCACGCATCGTTGTTTTGAGCCTTTTGGGCTAACGTATGGGCTGTTGAAAATCTCGGTTCAGTGTTTATCTTTGAAATGGTCGATTTTCGTCACTCATTGTTTCTTTTTCCTCCATGAAGCAACCTTTTGACGTAAACGAGCAGTGAACGCTTTGTTTTTCCATGACGACCGTTTGTCATAAGTAGGTCGTAAAACGTTTCGTACAGCTGTTGACGAATGCAGCCGCGTTGTTCGTATGCCGCCTTTCGCTTTTCCTCATTGTCTGTGACATCAGGCGCACTGATGAGTTCTTGCGAAGCGAAGTTCGCGCGGTCGTTCCGGATGTGACACGTGGTTGGACTGGCTGAAATGTTTTCTGTCTCAGTGAAGGAGTTACCAAAAAGACGGCTGGCATGATCATTCGATGGATGCTCAGGTCAAACCGATGACACTGACGCAATGACGTCAGCGCGATGTTATTGCATAAGTTGGATCATAAATTCATAGTTTTTAGGCGATCGGTTTTAAGGTATTTAATTTGACAGCGACGTTGGGAAATTTGGGCTTCACTTCGTTTGCGTCGTTACACCGTCGTGGCACCGCTGATTCTTTAGTCGAAAGCCTCGTACAGATATCACGCATGTATAACACAGAGTATTATGGTTGCACCGATGCAATAGCTCCCATTACTTCGAGCAACGCATTAAAATGAACGATTAAATTACTAAGTAAAAGTAGAAGCTAGATTTGTCTTTTTGGATGTCGTAGAATATTAGAAATTGGAGGAGGATGGCCTGCAACGGACATATTCGCATTTTATCGTTGCACATCATATACGTTGGTCTCTTTAGAAAAAACAACAAACTACAGCTGCTACGAGTTTTATACGTTAGAATTTAACCAGTAACTTCGTCAGCCGACTAATCGGAATCTCGTATACCAGCGACTGCTAATTAACCGGTCCTAAGAATTTCAAAGAGTCAAACGACGAGTGACAGCGGTTCTATGCATTGTGTTCGAAACGTGAGTTCTGTCCCTTAGATCACACCAGGAATTGTTTGTTTAAGATTCACTCTATTGTTAACAGTAGAAAGGGCTGTACTGTCGACGCCTAGTTTTGTGGAACCCGGTGGCACACCTCTGGGACGTACATAAGTGATCAAACAGCATTAGAAGTGCTAGGCGGCCGTTTCTGATCTCTTCTGCTATTGAATTTTAAAGTAGACGAAGCCTGTTACGAAGCGTTGCATTAATTCAGACATGTGTATTTGGCTATCATTGGACGTCAAGTGAAGTTCAGTCAGCTCTGAGGCGTAGAGTTTAATTGTTCCATTCTGCATAAAGGCTTTTGCATATGTTAAAATTCTGTACCCGCTTTCATGACGGTCGACGCGTGATATAAATGAACATGTCGAAGGGAACCGTTTGCTTATCGAATTTGTCGCCACTAGCCCTAATCACCTCTTAATGACGACAAGAAAAGGAAATTTGTGTAAACAAAAAATG